CGGAGAAGGGGGAGGAGCAGCAGCGTCCCGGTCCCGGCAGATCTAGAGCCGTAACGGACTCCGGAGCATCCACGGGATACTTGGGGCACCCCGGCTGCTTTGGGGGTGCAAAGGGCGCTGAGGCTGCTCTAGGTTCTGGAGCGTGGGGATTTCTTTTTTCTCTCGCTGGGAAGGGGATGAGGGCGGCGACTGGAGCAGCTGGGATGGGCTGACATGGGGAACAAGCTGCCTCTGTGTTGTTGGTTGGTTCGTTGTTGTTTTGTTTTTTTTTTAATTATTTTTAATTGTGCAGTTTGTGACGTCCAAAGCTTGTGACTTTTGAGCAGGGCTGCCGCGATGCCAGGCTGTGACTGGGTGACTCCAGTGACTCCAGTGACAGCGTGATGTTGCTGATGTAAGGGCTGGGATCGGCCCAGGGCTCGTCCCGCATCCCGGCACTGGCCGGGGAGCAGAGCCAGGCTGGGCGCTGGAGCTCCCGGGAGCCATCCCTGCAAGCCGGGATGAGCAGCCAGAGTGGAAATCGTCAGAGGATTGCTCTAAGCTTGTGAATACTTTTCTTTTTTCCCCTCCTCAGCAGCCTTGGGCACTTTATTTTTCTTGCACGGAGACCCGAACTGTTACAGTGGTTCTTGGCTTGGCCGTTCTGCCAAGGCTGCTGCCTCAACCCCCTCGTTCCTCCCCAAAAGACATTCTGGCTCATCTGCCTCTACTTTGTGCAATATTATCACGTGCAAGAGCCGCAGGGGAGCCCTGGAACTGCACTGTGCTTGGTTGCTTGTACCAAGAAAATTAGGTCGTCAGTCTGTTCCAGGGACACTCCAGTAGCCTCTTGGGTTTCCTTTTGCTGAGAGCAGGAGGTCCTGACCCCTATGCTGTTACTGCTCCCAGTTTTGCAGGAGCCCACAGCCCTGGTCTGGGCCCGTTGGGGCAGGTGACAGCAGCCAAGGGCTTGTCAGGGCCGTGGGGTGGCCGCAGGGAGCTGGTGGCACCATGGTGCATCCCCCTGGCCCCATGGGAGCAGTGGGGCTGGATCCCTGTGGTAAGTGATGGGGAGGCACAGCCTGGAGCATCTGCACGCAGAGCAGAGCCCTGTGAACTGGGATCCAGGGGTGCTGCAGCTGCTTGTGTCTCTGTGTCGCCAACCCGTACAGGGGCTTTAAATAATTAATTGTTTTCTGACGAAATTCCAGTTCAGAAGAGGGTGTGTGAGGTACAGCTGGCTGTTGGGATGGAGGCAGGCAGCAGAACTGTGTTCTAAAAGATGGGAACAACTGTGGTTAATGGCTTTTTGCTCATGTTGACAGAGAACCTGTATTTCTCTAATAAAAAAATAACCATTGATGAATCCCTTGAGTATTATTTAATAAGCCTCCACATCCAGACTGACATTCAAAAACAATGTTAGAGAGCATTAGTCTGGTCTGGGAGCTGGTGGGGAGCAGTCTGGTGGGAGCTGTGCTCCAGGGGGACAGTGCTGGGCTGGGAGCTGCACCTCTGCATCCAAGGCTTTACAGTGGAAAGTCTCTTTAGAATTGTTTGCTCTTTGTGTTTCTGCATGTGGTGGCTATGGGTGCTTCTGGGTCTGCCCTGGGGTCCTGTGTCAGCAGGAGGCTGTACTGGGGCTGTGACCAGAGACCCCTGCAAGGCTCTGCTGCTTGAGATGGGGACCCCTGCTGTGGTAGGGGGACACTGTCAACTTTCTGGGGAATGTCCTTGATGGGATGCTGTGTCCCAGCTGTGTGCCCATGGGAGCATCCACTGATGGGCAGGGAAGGACAGGGACGGGGACAGATGGGCTGTGGTGCCATTTTGCTGCTGCCACTGAGGAACACACCAGTGTTGGTGCCGTGGGGCTCATGGCTTTGAGCAACAGTGCTGAGCCAGCACCTCCCCACATCCTGCAGCTCCATCTCCACAATCCTGCACTGATAAATATTTCAGTCTCTCTTGCTGTTATTTTTAGGTATGTGCGAGAAGGCCGGTTTCGGATGGAGGAGAGGACACTGACAGCATTCCAGTGGCTGTACTCGCCCCGCCAGCACCGCATTGTCAGCAGGGCCGACCTGGGCTCCCCCAGCAGGTGAGGGGGGCAGTGGGGGTAGGACTGGGGGCTGCAAGAAGCACCAGCACATCCCCCTGCCAGTGCTGCTAGCAGCCTGCTCTGTCACCAGCCCTCATGGTTTGGACATGGGTCTCCTGGGACTCTGCCTGTCTCTGGAGCCCTGAAGATATCAGAGTATCCTAGGATTTCCTTTCAGATGAGAATCCAGACACAGTGGTTGCAGCCAGGAGCTGCAAATATTGTCAGCACCCCCTGGTTTAAAGCAGTGAAAAGACAAATAGCTGACTGCCTCCCCAGACTTCTGTTTTTAAAACCCCTGTGTGTTGGGGTGAGGTGCCCCACTGTCCTCAGTGGGAGCCATGACATACACCCCTGCTGTCACTGGCTGCTTCCCAAGACAGCAACTCCTCTGCCTGCTGCTGGGGAGGCCTTTCCAGAAGCTGACATTACAATGCTGGTTCTTGGTTTTAACTATTTTTTTCAAATTGTTATCAAAGGCTCTGCAGATGTTGATCATATGGCATCTGGAACTTAAATGTGTATAACACAATAATGTTAAGTACTACTGGGGCTAATTCCTCTGGAAAAATTGTACTTCCCAGTGGGCTGGGAATTTACCTGGAGATGTCTGGTAGAGTGTGTGGGCCATCAGTGGGCAGCTATGAACAGTGCCTGCATCCCTCTTCTGGGGACAAAACCTTCCCGCAGGTTAGAGCTGGGACTGTGGCCCAGGGCAGCCGGGGAGCAAGGTCTGGCTCAGCTGGTGGTGGTGAGCTGCCCCTGTTCAGGGTGATGAGCTGCTGTGGGCCACGCTGGGCCCTTTCCTTCAGCAGCTGCTCCATCTTCCAACCCCTCACTGGTTGCTGGCACCAATGAAATGTCCTGCAGCCTCCTCCCTGGCATGTCACGGCCGTGCCACCCTCCCAGCACCAGTGCTCATCTCAGCCATGGCACATTGTTCTGGAGGCTTCAGCTAAGGGGCTTGTAGTGCCTCGGGTGGCATGATGACACTGGGGAGTTTTGTGGCATTTCAGGCTGTCACAGACTGTCTGTCACGTTAATTGGATCACTGTCTCTTTTGCACTCACTGTGTCCTCTTTGCATAATGGCAGTGACACAGCTGAGCCAGAGAGTGGCTGATCTGCTGCAGGGCTTAATGCAACAGGTGTAGTTCATGAGTTTTTTTATTATTTATATACATGAATGTATTCACTGGGCCCACTTGAGCAGCACTTTATAGAAGGATGAGAGCCTGGGTCCTGCTTCCTCCATGGAATGCAGCTCGTGATGATCTGGCTGAGCTCTGTGCTCCAGGCTCATCCTTTGGGCTCTGCCATGTGCTGCGGGGCCGGGGTGGGTGCTGTGAGACGTGAGGGGGATGAGCCTCTTGGTGGGAATGGAAATGTTGCCTTTCCTTGCAGTGCATCCAGATTTTGGCCCTGGAAGCTTTTTTTTTATTATTATCGTCTGGTCCAAGCTGTGTCAGTCTTAAATTCAGCTGTAGCAGAGGGAGAGGCTCATGTGCAAGGGGTTTTGTGCCATATTCTAGTTTGTGGGTGGTTGTTTTTGTGGTTTTTTCCCCCACAAAACAGCCCTTTCACTCCAGAAGCCCCAGACAGGTTTACCGGCCGGGATTCTCTGTATTTGCTGCCGGGCATCGCTCAGGTGAGGTGACCCAGGTCCCCTGGGAGTAACTCCTGCTGGGAGAGCAGCACACCCGGACCCCCCTGTTCTTCCCTCCGCCCAGGGCCCAGCCCCACCTTCCCCAGACACCGCACCGGGGCCGCGCTTCTCCCTCCGGGGCCGCGGTGGGACTCGAGGATCTTAAAGGTCTTTTCCGAGTGAAACGAGTCCGTGATGGACGCGGGTGAAGCGCAGGGGCTGCAGGAGG